AAGCCAGGTGTAGGACTTTAGACTCCCATTGTTCAGGCAAATCATTATGCAGTCAGGCACTGTTTGAGGCTTTCAGTGTGGATCATGCATGAGGCCGATCTTAAGAACTTAAATGACAGAACAGTGAGAAACTGGGTGGTCTTTCAGTAGCACATGCACTTTAGTAACTGTTCCACCTGCATGTCTGCAAAGGGAGTTCTTACACTACTGTTACAAACTGTCCCAGCCAGTGTGACACAGAGCATGCCTTGTCTGGCACAGATGGAAGATGCACTTGATGGATGGAAGGCTGTGCAAGGAAGAAAAAAGTTCTTGAAGGGAAAAGCAATATTCCCTTGCATAATGGCAAGAATTATTTCTAGACTGCCCTACTTTCCAGCTTCTTATTGCTCTTAATATTATCTTAATTGAATGTGGAATGTCTCCCTGATTGTCTCCAGCTTCTGAAGTAGACTTTCAGCTGCAGTGAGCATTTGATGCACCTATCAGTCATATATAATTTCTTGCAGCAATAATATGATCCATAGGTCTGCAGTTTTCTAGGAAGATTACGTGCCCTGAAGAAGGAGTAAACATAAATTATCTGTTAATGTTTCTGCATGTATAAGACATGGAACTGCAGCACTGATTGTGGGCTAGGTCAAAACCTTTTCTTACAGTTTAGCTTTAATCCCTTCCAGACTCTGTGGATTTTCATGGATTACAAAAGAGAGCTAGAAAGGCCACCATATTTCATATCCTGATGTGCTATGTTCACTGTTGCTTATTAAAAACAACCCCACAAAAATAATTTTGCAAATCAGATTAAAGATTTGGATTTGGTAAAAAATCTGAGTCACCTGTGAAGAGGTAATAACTACATATACAAAATCTTTATTAACAATGTCTATGTATGTTATTTCTACTCATGATGCATAATATATACCAATACAAAAATGGCATGGTATATAGGTATTTTAACAATAAACACAGATAACTTTTTAATAGAGGCTTTCTCTAAGAGGTTTCCTGGATAAGTACTGACCTAGCCAAAGCTGCTGAATTTATAGTGGGAAATGATCTTTAAAGAAACCTTCCAACAGACCCATTCTATATTTATACCTATGATTCTATATTCTGGGATAAAAAGAGAAAAAAATTGCAAAGTACTTAATGTCTACTGTTATTTAAGCACTAAGCCACTATACAATACCTTTAGGCATGCTTCTCATAATTCTGCAGAATCCAAATCACTATGGTTTATGAAACTGATAGACAGTAGGTTTTTCAACTTGCTTCTTCTTCTAGATATTTAAAATCATATAAAAGAAAATATTTAGAAAAGAACACTAGAATGCAACCACCCTCTCTTCCAGTGTTCACCAGACAGTGATCTCCCTGATTTCAGTAGTCAGCTGATCTCTCTGGGGTCACAAAATTATGATGCTTGTTAACAGTAGATAAGATTTGGCATGGAGCTTGTAGGTCAGCAGATAATACTGAATGACCATCCTGTCCTAGCTGCGCATTTCCTCTGAAAATAGAAAGATAACAGAGGAACAGGCTGACATCTTTGTGTCACAGGAGCAAGGTTTAAGAATTTTTTTACTTCAATCCACAATTCTACACATTACAGTTTTCAAGCATTTCATTTTGCAGTTACCACTATCATTTTGACTTTCATTAACTCCTTATATCTTCCCTTCCCTCAGGAAATAGTAAAGAAATAAGGAGGATTAACAGAACAGCTCTCTGTCAGAAGCACAATCCATGTTTATTGTCCTATAAGACTTTATACACAGGCACTAGTATTTTTTCCCTGGGCATACCTATCAAAGGGGCTCTACAGAAGTGCTTTCCTCTTGCATAACAGCACACATCTGGCTTGCTCCAGGCATGACAGTAAAGCCTTTTCATGCACAGAACAAGTCATTGTGCAATGGAGACATGCTGAGTCGTCTGATAAAGAGAAGATTTCTTGCAAATGATTGATAACATTACAGGAATGAGCAGTTGATTTCGTAATATTTTTTTTAATAGAAGAGACCAGTAAAGGCCCCATTGCAGCTGTTTGAATTTTGCAGCTGTCTGGGTGAATAATTTGGTTCTGATGTGGGACATCTGGGTGTGCTGTGAATGCACTAAGCAGCTTTCAAAACCACTTGAGGAGCCAGGCAGAATTGTTCAACAAGCTGGGTGTAGGTCACAGGCTGCTAGGTGGATAGCCTTGCACTAGGTAAGCTAATGGTACCTTTTGGTCTTCAGTTATTATCTGAGTCACTGCTTCTGGAAAATAGTTATCTACTCATTGCTGCACAAAAACACACCTTCTGAATTCTTGGTTTCACATCTGCAGTTCAGGAATTCCTGCATTTATTCAGATAAAGAGGTGTTTCTTTTATTAAAGAAGGGGAATGTATGATTCTCGCTTTTCTACCATTAGTTTAATATTAATTTTTCTATGATTGCTACGTCACAGCTCCCCCTGTGAAGAGGAGAGGCTCACAATACCCAGTTTGGACAGATGATCTCTGCCTTGGAAGAGAACATGTTTGCTTCAGTAACTTTCCCAAACTCAGCTGAATGTTATGTCCAGAAGACTTATCAGGTTATCTTAATAAATGCAGGATTCTCCAGTGTCATTGAGGTGATTCTGGAAAAGGAGAAAAGCACAGGGAATTTTTAGCCACATAAATGGCTAATAGAGGTTGAACTGGAGATACTAATAGAAAACTTCTGGATGTTTGCCTAACATGTTCTTCCTCATGTAAATAAAATGCACTGTAAAACAGGTAATTTTCAGATTTACAACTGAATTGTGTGTTTTTGTAACATAACTCTCAGAAATCCTAGAGGCAGTGCTATGAAACAGCACACCCATCTCTGAGAAAGGAAAAGGGGAACCTCAAGAGTTATAGCTTAATCGTTCTAATTTTCTATTTGAAAAGCTACTAGGACAAAGTATGAACTGTTCAGTTAAAAGCTTCCATCTAACCTCACAGTAAAATTAGATGGGTGAAGCTATAGGAAAAAAAAGAAACACAGTGGAAAATGCCATGGGAAAAAAAGTAAATGGGCGGAACAAACCACACAATAGTGAAAGACAAGCAAGTCAGCAATATTGTCTGGATAGGTAGAAGGTGCTGGAATGGAAATTTTTAATTCTTGTGTTGTACTCTGCTACAATGGTAACTTTAGCAATATTTTCATTTGAATTATAAGCTATTGGAAGATACAGTTCTTCAACTAAAAATTAGATCTCCAGTGGTTTAAACCAAACTTTTACATATTTTTTAATGCAGGAGGCATCAAGTTGTTAATGTGCTGCTGTGTACCAGAAAACAAGAACAGGTGTGGCAGGCAACTCCTAGATTGAAAACCACTGTCTGAGCAGATCTACTAGTAAGAACAAGTAGTATCGTTACATTAGCAAGGACATAATTATATAAAAAAATAAAAGGGAAATAAATTTCATTTTTTAATGTTGTTTTACAAACCATCAGTATTGATAAAACTTTCTTGTACTATAAAATGCTGCACAGAGTCTTAGGACTCTGTGTGTTAAAGAGTATATAAAAATTAGTTTGAACTTGACCAAATATCTACTACTTATGCTTGTTTGATGTTGTAGGATTTCTATGCTGAACAGCTGCCCTAACTTCATAGACATTAATCCTTTTAGTGGAGGAAGAATATGGCAAAAGTAATGGTGTGGGTGTGGCACCTTGGAAAAGGGATGTAATACACAAATAAGTCCATTTGCAGGCATTAACGCAGGTGAGCTCATTAGAACACAGAGCTACTGTGTGTGTAAGCTCTTCTGTTGTCAGCATTGACACAGAAGCTGTCGAAGGGGTGATCATTGTGTCTGTTCTGATAAGTTATTATACTAGTTTATTTGGATGAATACATTTTCATCTGGTGACAGGGTGTGAAGCCTGGATGACCAGGAGTGCCTCTGGAGACTCTGGCCTAGAAGAGAAGCCCGAGTTTCCCATCACCAGCACTCAGACAGGGTGGCAGAGGGGCTGGTGGCACTTGCTGTCTCCTCCTAAGGTGTGTCAGCCAAATAACTTAGGAGCTCCGTGGGAGCTGTGAGGTGCTGCCTGGGCCTTTCCTTCCTCTGCTGGGAGGCCTTGGAGCTGAAGGGGCAAAGCTGGGCACCACAGAAGTGGCGTTCTACAGAGTGGAACAGAAGCCTTGCTGGGCAGTATTTCACTTGCATATTTCGACACCACTTCATGATACTCATTTTGAGCACCTTTCAATCTAAATTATAAAATAAGACAGTGTTAGGGAACTGCATGGAAGAGTGTCGCCATAGCAGAGGGGAGGGACATGGGCTGAAGGGAATCTCATGACTGTGAGTCCTGTCTGCGAGGGTGCATGGGGCCCCACCACCTCAGAATGCCTTCCAGAATGTTCTGGCATTCTACACTAAGGAAAGTGGTCATTCACATAAAAAACTGCAATACAACTACAAAGTGCGTATGGAAGAGGAGACACAGGCGTTCTCTGTCGGCTAGAGGAACAAAGTAGAACTGCAAAACTGATCAAGGCACTGTAGCATCTCTGTTATGAGGAAAGGCAGAGGAAGCTGGACCTGTTCAGCCTCGAGAAGAGACAACTGAGAGGGGACCTCAGTCAATATGTTTTCTGTCAGTATCTGCAGGGAAGCTGCCAAGAGGATGGAGACAGGCCCTTCTCGGCGGTGCCAACCAATAGGACAAGAGGCAAAGGGCAGAAACTGAACGAGGAAGAACTTTACTGTGCAGTGACCAAGCACTGGAACAGGCTGTCCAGAGAGGTTGTGGAGTTTCCCACACTGAAGCTGTTCCAGAGCTGTCTGGACGCAGTGCTGTGCAATGTGCTTTGGGGTGGCCCTGTATGAGCAGGGTAGCTGCACTCACTGCCCCGCTCTGTGTCCCTGATCCCCCCCGCGCAGACAGGGAATACAACTCCCGGCATGCCCCGGGACGCCGGGCCCCGCCCCCGCCGCGCGCGCGCCCTGTCGCGTGTGAGGTGAGCGCGGGGCAGGCCGGGAATGCGAGTCGGGATTGGCCGGCGCGCGCCCCCTTTCCAGCGTGCCGGGCAGCAGGAAGCGGCGGCGGCGAAGCGGGAAGCGGCGCGGTGAGGAGCTGTTCCCGGTGAGTCCCCGGCGGAACCGTCTCGCCACCCCGCGGCGCACCGCGCCGCCGGGCCGCGGCCCGGCCGGGAATTGAAAAGGGATCGATTTAATGCGCGCTTTGATGACGTAATAAGGACTAACGAGGCGGCGGCGCTGCGGAGCGCCCGGCTCGGGCCGGCGGCGGTCGAGCTCCACCCCAGGACTCCCCCGCGGGCCCTCCGCGCCCGCGGGCGCCGCTAGCACAGCGCCCGCACCGACCGTGCCCGGCGGGCCCCGGGCAGGGGCCAGGCCTTCCGCCTTCGCCCGCTCCGGGCACTCGGCGGCCGCTCATTGGCTCCTCAGCGCGGGGCGGGCCGGGCTCTCGCCTCGCAATTGGCGGGAGCCGCGCTGACTGGCAGCAGCGCCCGCCAATGGGGCCGCGGGGCGCGCGGGCCGAAGCCCGCGGGCGGCGGGAGCTGCGGGCGGGGCGCGGGGGGCGGTGGCGCCCCCTGGCGGGCGCGGGGGCCGCAGCGCCGGCCCCGCAGTGCGGGATCAGGGAGCGGGAACGGAAATAGGGACGGGAACGGAAACAGTGGGAACGGCGGCGGCGCGTACCAGGGCGGTGGCTCTGGGCAAAAACGTGCGGTTCAGTGCACGAGGGATCGCTGCTGCTTCACCGCACACGCCCCAGGCCCCCCTTGCCTAAAATGGCGGTGGTTTGGGCACGCTGCATCAGCCCCGCCGAGCTGCCCTGTGGGAGCCGTGCGCTGGAAAATGTCTGCTGCCTAAAATACCAGGAGTTCCTGTTGTAGTCTAGGAGGGTGGTAGTAATAATATGTCTCCGTTGAGGTGGTTTTATAAAAAGCTGTGACGTGAAAGGAGTACGGACTGCAAAGGTAGTTGAACGAGTCTTCCAAGAAAATTGGGTGAACAACTGAAGTAGTCCAGTCTCCATCCTTCTTCTGTGAGCCCGCTCATAAGAGGGAACTTGTATCACTTCTGTCCATCTTCCTGAGCTGTTCTGTTTTCCCAGCTGTACCTTTCTTCCTCCGGAACAGTCGTTCTCCTACTGAACATGAGCTGTTCTGTCTGGCTTTCTTCTGCAATATGACCGAGTTGTTAACATGAGAGTATGCAATGAATGCTGCAACTTCGTTGGGATACACAGTAAATTCACGCTTCTTACTAGTTCTGTGTAAATTTATGTCTCAGGTTGGACTTGGCTCCCAGCCAAATGCCTGGACCACAGGGGAAAAAACTGTACCCTTCCCTCTCTCTCTCTCTCAGACAGACCAAAAAGACTATACAAAATCAAAAGAACCCAAACCAAACCAAATTCCAAGTAACACGCATTTATATATATATTTAGAATTACATACAAGGTATCACCCACAGGGAATCCCCCAAAAGGGAAAAAGAAAGGAAAAGGGAAAAAAGGGACAAAAACCAAATGCTTTCTTCGAGATAGCAGAGAACTGCACCAACAACTGCCGGCACTATCCACTTCCCAAGGCCAACCAGGCGCACCAGGCCTCACTCCTTCACCCGGGGCAGAATGATAGCAAAGAACCTTTGCATTCAGTCTGCCGGAAGAAAGAGAGCGAGAGCTTCCTCTCCCTTCTTATTTGTACCCTTGTTTACGTAAAAATCATATGGAATACTGGGAACATGGCCTTGGTTACTTGGTTACAACCTGGTTACCAAGGAAGGCCTGGACTCAAAACCACTACAGTTTATGACAATGAACTAGCTAACATAAGTTGTATGTCTCCTTACTCTTAAGAGTTCTGAAAAAAACCCTTTTTAAAATATCTTGGATTTGCTAGGGTGACGTTACTCTCTTATTTTGAGGTTTTAGTGGGTTTTTTGGGATATCCCTCTAAACAAACAATTTGAAACTAAAACACATTTGGGTAGGTAGAAATCATGAGAGTTGGAGACTTGCTTGTTTTAAGGGATTATGCTTCTAACTGCAAGTCATCTACCCTTTTATGATGTGTCAGAAATGGGTGAAAAAGTGAAGTGGCTGACAGCTTCCCACATGAGACTTTATGTGAAATGCCAGATGGTGGAGGAAAGCAGGAGCTGCTGGTTGTCTGTCTCAGACCCATCATTACAGATGAGGTGCAGTCACTGCAGCAGCAGCATCCACCTCACCTTCCCCTGCAGGCTGGTCTCCTCTGCCTCCTTGAAGACCCTGACACGTGTTTCTGTTGCAAAATGTAGAATATGTAAGAATTTCTTACAAGAGGATGTTCTTTGATGTTTGATCTTTGTAAACATTCAAGCCTAATCAATGAGAAGGGAGATTTAATGTGTGAAACAGAAAGCAGCCAACAAGCTCTAAGTGATGTCCAGCCATTAGAAAAACAAATTACTTGTTGGTAGAACTGCCTTGTTAAGGTTCAGGGCTGGACACACTTCAGTGATTTCAGACCTAGAGGGAGGTTAACAAAGCTTGGGAAGAAGGATGCCCACTTACAATGGACACAAAGAATGCAGAATTTACGGGCCACAAGGACATTGGGAAGAAACCTCAAGATGAGGAAGAAACTAATAAAGCCAACTCAGCAACTGCACTGAAATCTGCTCCAACTGGGTAAAAGGTAATTCTGCCAAGGAGTGATTATGACCACCAACCCAAGAAATCCAGGGACTCAGGAGAAAGACTGAGAAGGTGGATTAATTAGCATGAGAAGCAAGAGGATCATTAACCAGTAGAAGATAAAATACTAATGAATAAGAGAATAGGTAATTTGTAGCCAATGAACACTAATTTCTTTGTTTGCTAAAATGCAGAGGAATATAATGTATATATAATGGCCAGTCTTCACGAGCGAAGATCCGGGGAAGGTCTTTCCACCTTCCAGCCTGCGCATTGGATTTTTTAGGTGAGACACAGTGTGCGCAGAACTGAGCCCACCCTTTAATCCTAAGGTTCATCTGCCGGGGCCAAGCGAGCTTGGACGGTGGCAGCGAGGTCCTCAGGACGTAGATGGGTTGCCTTTTTAAGGGCTAACGAGCTCCATCTGCCCGGGAGTGGCCCTGACCGGGAATCAAACCCGGGCCTCGGTGGTGACAGGGCCGCGCCCTTACCACTAGACCACCAGGAGCTCCATAATGTATAGTAATACAGTTAAATAGTAATATAAAATAGTAAAAAGTTTTGATAGTGTGCTTGATTTGTGGAATACCACAGGACACCCAGGCTTGCTCAACTGTGAAACAGATAATCAGTATCTCTCTGGAATGTTTAATTATTGGCTTGTTACACTCCAGGTAACAAATCCAATTTTTGTCTACATTTCCCTGGTTGGCATCACAGCAATAGCAGGTGGAGTTGGATTTCCCTAAGTGGTTGTCTGTTCTCTGCTTATTTCGTTCTCTTGGCAAAATGACTTCTCTGTGGGCGGTTTTTCCTGAGATGCAAGAAAGCGTGTGTTTTGTGGTGAAAACAGGAGCTCCATTATTCTTCTTTTCTGTGTCATTCTAAGTGTAAACCGTGTTAATGTGGGAGTTGAAGATGAGTGTTGCTGCACAGATATGAAGTAATTTTGCCTGGGGGTGATTTGTGAAGTGGTTTCATTGAAGCACTTGGATGCTCTCCTGAGGTTCTTCTGCATAAGCAGCAGACTGACATCTGCATCTCATTTGCAGGCAGAGAGTTCTGCTAAACCTCTTTATGTCCGAGATCCTCTGCGACTGCTATACCCACCTATGCTTATTGTATAAGTAAAGGAGGAAGGGCCATCAGATTACATATGTGTCTCTTTAGAAAGGCTGGCAAAGATTATTTCACCTTACAGGGGAAGAAGTGTAGGTAGGAGGGATGAATAAGCTTGGGTGTGACAGTAAATGAAATCCCTGGCAACTCCAGCATACTTAGAAATTGAAAATTACTGCTTGATTACATGGATGCTTGAAGGAAGTAAACATCTTGTGTTCACAAGGAGCAAAATGTGACTTAAATATGAAATTTTTAAGAACTGTTCTTCTACCAGGTGGAGTGGTGGGATGGTGAGAAGTAACTTTATAAAGATTCTGATATTATCCTGCTGTGGTCTTGAATAACTAGCCATGAAGATGTTGCGTTCCTGCAGTATTTGCTTTGAGGATGGTGGATACTTGCTGCAACAGTAGGATAAAGAAATACGCTTACCCACTTTGACTGTTTTTTTCATGTGTCTAAATAAGACAACATTCCCTCTCAGTAACTGTGCCATTTCCTATCTGTCAGCTCACATCCGGTAAAAAAACCTGTTACCGGAACAATTTGTTATTTCCATTGGTTTTATAGTCCATGCAAAGTTCTAGGTAGTTTATGTCTGTATGAAGACCTGACTGTGCACAGTATTTACCAAGTGGCACAGTATTTTTACTCTCACACTGTATTTTTTTGCAGATCAGGTCTTTTGCCATGGAAGCCGAGGAAACGATGGAATGTATCCAGGAATTCCCTGAACACTATAAAGTTATTTTGGATCGACTGAATGAACAACGTGAGCAGGACCAGTTTACAGATATCACCCTGATTGTTGATGGTATGTACAGGCCTGAGAACCAGCTGGTATACTGGGAATTCTGAAGGCTGTGCTAGGATGCTGTTGAGTTTGTCACGGGTCAGAGTCAGACTGAGTTGCAGACAAGTTCCTGGTTCTGCACCGTGTGTGAGTTACTTGCAGACTTTCATTTAAAATCTCAGGGTCAACAGAGACTCCAGCAGTGATTAAGAATTTTGCCTCTGCTTTTCCAAACAAAGGACTAAATATTTTCAGATAGAAGCCTTCCTTGAAATTGCTGTGCTATACTTAACATGCTGTCTAAGGATTTCCAAAACATTAAAATATTTTTTCTGACTTGAGCTGACTGTTTGCATGCAGAGAACTTTTACAAATACTGTAAAATAGAAATAAATTAAATAAATGTTTAAATAAAACAAACCACACCTTGAAATAAGATTTACTTCTTGCTTCTCTGGTATCTGATATCATAATTTAAATATCTGAAAAGAGAAACACTGGTGTGACTGAGTCCTCCATCTGGTTGAGTTGCAGAGCTTTAGCAAGGTAAGAGATGTCACCGAGGTTCTGCAAGAGATGGGACAGGATAGCTGCAGTAGTATTCCATGTTTTATGGAGACACAGTGACTATATGCTGCTGAAATAGTGGAATAGTTGTTTAGACTGGGTGGTCTTTTTCTGCACCTACACTTATTCTGCACTCTGGAGGGAGGAAGGTGTTACCCTAAACCAAAATTTTTGTCTCTCTTTGCAGGTCATCATTTCAAAGCTCATAAAGCTGTTCTTGCTGCCTGTAGCCAGTTCTTCCACAAATTCTTCCAAGATTTCACTCAAGAGCCTTTGGTGGAGATTGAAGGTAATCTGATTTGTACAATTTAAAAACATTCAGAGTTGTGTGCTCAAGCTGGTAATTAATACAGCATCCTTGGTACAGGCCTACATACGTAGAATCGTAGAATGTTAAGGGTTAGATGGGACCTTCAAGGTCATCTAGTCCCAACCTCGCTGCCATGGACAGGGACACCTCCCACTAGACCAGGTTGCTCAAGGCCTTATCCAACCTGGCCTTGAACACTTAGACATGATTGGTCATATCAATTAGCTTTCTAGATCCTACTTCTTGAGTTGTTCTGAGACAGCTATCACCACTTGAAAAAAACTTCCCCTGAAGAAAAATCAAAAATAAAATAAAAAAAATCTTGAATTAAATTGTTGGAAGAAAAAGTGTGAGATTATGTGGGTGCTTTTTAAATTTTTTTTCCTTTCTTTCCCCTAATATATGGCTAGTGGAAGTCAGGCAGATCGTGTATGTTTTTAGGACTAGTAGTGTGACATAAAATCTTTTCCCTGAGAACAGCCTATCTGGTCTGATGAAAAAGGTTGACAGTGATGGCCAATGGCAGATGCCTTGGCTGGCATGCAAGAGCATGATAGACATTGAGCAATACGTGTGCGGTAAGCAAGGAGCAAATTCCTGGAGCAGTATTTCAGCCTTCAGTACCTTGCTGCTCAGCGACCTCTTGAAAGACAGCATTTTTTGTGTTTAAATCTATGTATTATTCAAAGAGTTTTTTGTCCATCTTATTCTTCCTTTTATCTTTGTCAGAGCATAACTCCATAGTGTTCACATTGTTCTGTAGTAGGTTGAAACTAGATGATTTTTATGTTCTCCAGCCCAAACCATTCAGTGGTTCTGTGGAGCCTTTTAAGGGTGTCATCTTCATGAAACTTGGAGGTATAGTACTGTGATCACAACAGTGTGCAGGCAAGTGTGCAGGATTCATCAGGTAGATGAGACTGAGGAATTGCTGAAAGAAACTGTTGTTTCTCTTTTCTGTATACAGGTGTAAGTAACATGGCATTTCGTCACCTAATTGAGTTCACTTACACAGCAAAACTTATGGTCCAAGGTGAGGAAGAAGCAAATGATGTTTGGAAAGCAGCTGAGTATTTACAGATGCTAGAAGCAATCAAAGCACTTGAAATCAGGTGAGCACGTCAGCCTCTTTTTTCTTCCCAACACTTCTAGAGTCTTAAGAATCCTTTTGTAAGAGCTGGCTGCCAGTATTTTGTAGTGCTGTTCCTTAGGCTGGAATCTCCTTAGCTTCTGTAGGACCATATACTCTTCTACTATGGCATACATGTCAGAAATATACAGGCTGAAAAAAGAACGTCACGTTCTTTGGGCTCGAACTCAATGGCAAGTGACACGGCTCGTAAATGTTGCCAAAATTGTAGGGCTATGTCTTTGTGGCAACTGATACCAGATCTTTCTGCTGCCTGAAGGCCCACACCTGACTGACAACTGGCTGCACAGTGACAATGTGCCCCAGGTAATCAGAACACATTAACAAGTTTGTGCTGGTGTTTGTATTTCATGCAGCTTTCTGCTATTTCTGAGAGAATAAGCAGTGATCTTAAAACTTCTGCAAAACTAACCTCTCAAACTTCTTAAATGAATGTGACTGTTGTAGTCAGTTTTATGTGGGTTCAGTATTTAATCAATTGTTGCTGTGGCAGCTTTTATCCTGTACCAGAAACTGTACTCCATTGCCAAACTTCAGCATGAGAAAAATGGATGCCAGTCCCATCATGACGTTTTTCATCCCCTTTCTTCCCTTTCACTTCCACAAAGTGCTCTCACATTCTCATTCCTTCTACATGCTACACTGCTAGCTTTTGGTACATAATCCCAGAGCTCCTTGCAGTAACGTGCAATGTAACTATCATCTTGTAGACATCATAAATCCAGGCTAGATGAAACTTAGTTTAGCTGCTCTGTTTCCCTGTGTGTAACTAGAGTAAGGTGCACTTTGATAAACTGTGTCCTGCACTGTATCATTAGTCACATATCTCTGACATATGACTTGGAGATATTGGGCCAAGTCTTGTCTCCTATTACTATAAAACGTGGAAGTAGTAGGGAGTACATTATGTGTAAGGATTCATCATGCTGCAACGGAGGGAAAAAGCACGGCTTACCCCAGTCAGTCTGTTTGAGGGGAGATACCCACTCATTTTCCAAACTGTTAATCAGTAATTAAACCTGCAGCACAGAAGTGCTGTTGGTGACTTGAAAGCACTAACCTGCTCAGTTCTATCTATGTTTGAGATGACATGCTATCTCTGACATTTTGTAGGAAGGAGGGTTGAGTGTGTGTTATGTAGGGAGAACAGCAACAGAACTGAGGGTTGTGTTCAAGCCCAGAAAATTAAACTAGGATGCTCATTCTGCTGACTTTTATCTCAGCTGTTAGCTGTGTACCTTCCTGAAATACAAGATGCTGTGATAACCATTGTGTCAAGTCACAGCTGTAGTGTTTTCTAACAAGCTCTAAGCACTGCAGGAAGCTGCACACACTCAGAGCTTAAGAATTGAAGAGCATAGGAGGGACTTGAACCTTATTTCTGAGTAGGCAGGCCAAAGAACTCTTTCTTTTGGGGGAGTTTTCTTTCCAAGTACAGAACTTCACCATTTTTTTAGATAAGCCTCTGTCATTAGGTTAACTGGCCTCTCTTCTTGATAGGTGTTTTGTGTCATTTGAGCAGAGCTACTTAAAACACCTTAGCAGCTTTAACCGTGCTATTTTACTACACTAAGGAGTGTAGATGAAGGACAAATGAGCTTCTGACTTGCACACAGATTAAGTGGTCATTCATCACTCAACTATGAGAAATGGCTAGAGTATTGGGTGCAGAAGCTCATTACTAGGCAGGAGTTCCTGTATCAGTGCTTATGGATCTTAACTATGTTTATGCAAATGCTTTTCAGGAACAAAGAAAATTCATCACTCTTAGAATCAAATGAAGCGCAAGGTAAAAATAAACCAAAAAAGAGGAAGATTGCTGAAACCTCTAATGTTATCACAGAAACACTGCCATCTGCAGAATCAGAGCCTGTTGAAATTGAGGTTGAGATTGCTGAAGGGGCGATGAAAGTGGAAGACAGCATTGAAACACTTGAAGAAGTAGCTTCTGCAGAGCAGTCCATAAAGTACATACAGACAACAGGTACATCAGATGAATCTGCTTTGGCTCTTTTGGCAGACATCACCAGCAAGTATCGTCAGGGAGAGAGAAAATGCCAGATCCAAGAAGAAGGTGATAGTGCAACTGATCCCTCGTGCAAACAGGTAGAAGGTATTGAAATTGTGGAACTTCAGCTGTCACACATGAACAATTTATTCCACTGTGAGAAATGTAACCGTTCATTTAAATTGTTTTACCATTTTAAGGAACACATGAAAACACACTCTACTGAGAATTACAAGTGTGACATATGCAATAAAAGATACCTACGAGAGAGTGCTTTGAAACAGCACCTCACCTGTTACCACCTTGATGAAGGTGGTGCCAGCAAGAAGCAAAGACCTGGCAAGAAAATACATGTATGCCAGTACTGTGATAAGCAGTTTGACCACTTTGGACATTTCAAAGAGCACCTGCGGAAGCACACAGGTAAGAGCACTGCGACAGTCCGGGGCTTGTGGCCTTTGCTCTCACATGTTGGGGCTTTGCATGTTTTGGGGAAATAGAGAATATGCTGAAGACAACACATGATTCCTGAGTGCTAGAAATACTTGGCTTCTAGTTACAACTAAAACGCTGGTATGTCTTTTTGTTTGTTTTTTGTTTTCCATTGATGTAAACTTTTGAGGGATTGAGATGATTAAAAATATGCACCTAAAAAAAGAAGGCACTAATGAAGCTTCTCTGTCAAGTCTACTAAATCTTAAAGATTTTTTTTCAAAATACCTTCTTAAGGCATGTTCCTTTCTTCATAAGTACCAAACTGAGCTACTTTTATTTTCAGAATTTTCTGATAAAAGTTTCTGTTGAAATATGATCTGATCATGAGCTTCTGTGTGGAATACAGTCTGGAGAGTTTCTTTATCTTACAGACCTTCTTAGCAAATGCCTATTAGTGCATTAGATATAAAATATCCTCAAAAAATTTTCTCTTGTACCATCTTGTTTAGAAAGTTTTATCCTTGCTCTTGATACCTCATCTGTGATTTGAATTTTCTTTGTTAATGAAGCAAAACCACTGAGAAGAGCAGAACATTTCTAGTCACTCTAGTATACTTTTGGATTGTGAAATCTGCCTCTTTGAAATCTAGATAGAATTTTTTGAGTACAAAGTGACTTGTGCTGCTTTTTTCTTCCCTATAGTATGGGATGTTACTTCATCTCACTGAAAAGTCTGCTATCTGAACAGATACTGAACATGACACAGATAACTCTGAATGTAATATAAATGTGGTCTTGATCTTCCACATGTTTTTGTTTAATATGTCAGTCATGAATCATCAGTAAAAAATTAATGGAGGGTAGCAGCTCTATTTCTTTTTCAGCTTCTTAAAGTCTTTTAATTAGAATGTCTTAATTTAATTAAAATGTATCTGTGTATGGGACTGCTGAGTATTGATATATGGCAATGTCCAGTCTATTCCAAATAGCCTCTCAAAAGTTCAGTTTATAAATAGTTTTTGGCAAATCCTTATACCCTATGAAGCAGGGAGTGTTTGTCCATTACGAGCAATCCCAATACAAGCTACTTAACAAAAATCTTTTCAGGAAACAGTTTGTGGCAAATAACCAGATTAACCCAAAGTGTGTATATGTTGTTTTCTCTTGCAAAAAAGTATTTTGGGTTCAAAGGAAGTTACCATATCACAGAAGGTACAGAATACTTTATAAATATATATTGATCTAATACGTCTAACATGTAATCTAATTACTTCCAGTTTAGCATTTTCCAAAGCTTTAAGCTTAAAATCAAAACAGATACCACCATTTAACTCCTCAGGTCAGTGCAAAAACTCCCATTCAGTCACAGGCTTTCTGAATTCTGTATAGCACTGGTTGAATGCTAAAATGAAACTGAAAGGCCTGGGACAAAATGAACTAAAAAGTATTTGATCCTGCGTTTGATCGTTCACTACGCCAGAAATTACATGAAAATAGTCACTGCGGCAGAAATGGAATCACAGAATGTTTTAGTTTAGAAGGGACCTTAAATATCATCTGGTTACACCCCTGGGACCAGACTATGGAACCTTCCACTGGACCATGTTGCTCAGAGCCCCATTCAACCTGGCCTTGAACATTTCTAGGCATGGGGCATCCACAACTTCTCTGAAGTTCCAGTGCCTCATTAACTTCTGAATGAATTCTGTAAACAATTTCTTCCTAGCATCTTTACTTAAACCTACTGTCTTTCAGGTGAAGGCCATTCCCCCTTTGTTGTATCACTTCATGCCCTTGTAAAAAGTCTGTCTCCGGCCTTCCTGTAGGCCCCCTTTAAATAGTGGAAGGTGCTGTATTGTCTCCCTGAAGCCTTTTCTTCCCCAGGCTGAACAACCCCAATGCTCTCAGCCTGTCTTCACAGCATGGTTTCCAGGAGGATCTCCTCTATGATTTTGCTGGGCACAGAGGTGAGACTGACTGGCCTGTAGTTCCCTGGGTCTTCCTTATTTCTCTTTTTTAAAAGGGTTATGCTTCTGCTTTTCTGGTCAGTGGGAACTTAACCAGGCTGCCAAACCTTTTTGAAATTCATGGATAGTGGCTTCCTCCACCAGCTCCCTCAGGACCTGCAGCTTTCTCCATGTCCCAGGTAACCAGGTCTCCCATTTGTCTCTGGAGAGCGCCCACATTTATCCTAGTCTTTTTATCACCCACATACCTAGAGGAGCCTCTCTTGTTGCCCTTGGTGTCCCTGGTCAGATTTAATTCTATGCGGTCTTTAGCTTTCCTCCCTAACCTGATCCCCGTCTCTTCAGACAACCTCTCTGTATTCTTCCCAGGATACCTGTCCTTGCTTCTGTAGGCTTCCTTTTTGTGTTTCAGTTTGTCCAGAAGCTCCTTGTTCATCCACGTAGGTATTCCCCTGCTCTGTACTATTGTAGAATGACACGTTTACATTAGTAGGGACCTTGAAGATCATCTAATTCCAACCCAGTTAGTTGCTTGGGCAAAGTTCATGATTTTTGATCTGCAAAACTGAAAGCAGTTCAGCATCTTCTGCATTACTCTTACAAGTGTCCAAAAATGTATCCTTTTGTAACCATTGAGGGCAAGGTTCTGGTCATTTAAACATCTTTGTCTAGCTTTCAGGTGTTTTAAGTGAGGATTGTGGATTTCTTTTGAAAAGATAATTAGGAACTTTTGAATATTTCTGAAGATGTGGGTTTATTTGCTTTCCGCCTCAATATCCAGTAACTACTGCATTCCTGAAAATGCAGGCATTTAAACTAACTAGGATAGATTCTTATGGTATTCACTGAAATGGCTCTTTTGGAGTTCGTTTCAGTAGTGATGTTGTACCTCCGCAGGTTAATTATCAGACTTCCAGAAGAAACACACTCTTCCAGTTTTCTTGTAATTTAATTTGCTTGACTTTCAGTGTGTTTGTGCGTGGTGGAATTAGTGAAGAGAGACCTTTTGTTCATTACTACTTGATGATAGTACACTGCTTTAGATGATAAAAAGATCTGTTTTCAGCCTCCTCTGCTGCTGTCCTTAGCTGGCTTCTGTGTTTGATACCATCGTTAAAAGGAAGTGGCCAACTGAAAGGAATGTTATCTTGCTTGTGCCCATTTATGTCCCTCTGTGCTTTCTTTTCACTGTATTTTAGGAGAGGAAGGGGGGTTTTGTTTGTTATGACACTAATGGATTGTTATTTCCTTATTCATTGTGGGCCAGCTTCTTTTTCTGGAGCTTAGTTTCAGCTCTCAAGCATAAACTGTTACTGTTGTTAAAAATAAAAGTTTATATTATTTAAATAGTTCTTTAATGTGTCACTTTGTACATTTACTAATGTTGATCTTTTAATTGTAACAATTATCAGATGAAAAGTGAGAAAAGGCTGCTATTTCTTTAAGAGACTTTGTTGGAATAGTAATCTTAATTTCCATTAAACTAATTTTCACAAAAGCAAAATGCACCCTAAATGGTACTGGTAATTGATTTTCTTCCAAATGAGAATTATGACTCCACATTAATTTTTTTACCCTTTTGCATGGCATATCCATCTCTTCTTCTCCAGAATAATCCAGCTGGCCACGTCTTTACAGTATATTTATCAACCTTGACAAGAGGGAGAAAGGGGAAGAAGAGAGACCTGACAGAAGACTGGGTGATTTTATACACTTACAAATCCTTGTGTCTTTTTTAACAGGTGAAAAACCATTTGAATGTCCAAACTGCCATGAACGTTTTGCTAGGAATAGCACACTCAAATGTCACCTGACAGCCTGTCAGTCTGGAGCTGGAGCCAAAAAGGGAAGAAAGAAGCTCTACGAGTGTCAGGTGGGTAATGGAAGTAGCAGAATCCCAGGCTAGATATCTCCCTCCTTTGAGGGAGTGGGAGAACTGAACAAGGCAAGGAGAGTGGCCTTACGTCTCCAAGAGCTACTTCAGTAAAATAAATATAAAGATTACATTCAAACACAACATGCAGATAAATTCTTATATCTAAGTAGCTCCATTTTAAAATGTGGAATTACTGATGTGGAGCCTCATAATACTTACAGAGAGATTCTTACGGGTAGGCTGCCTTCTACTGGTCTTTCTGCTTCCTTTTCAAGGTTCTTGATGCACTGACCTAGGCCCTTCCCACTTCTGAGCACACTTCACTAAAGTTCAAAATACAAAATAGTACTTCATTTTCTATTTTATTATTATTATTCTGTTTGATACCAAACATCCTGACTTTGTCTGGAAAGTAATTCCAACTTATGCTGGTGTTACCTAAAGACTGGGAGCCAAAAAAACCCAAGGCAAATTTAGTAGAGATAAGATAATAGAGCAGGTCTTTAATGAAGGCCTTCTGAGCATGGGAGTACAGAAAACATGCATGTGTGCTGTGTCCAGTGGTTCTACAATTTTACAGTATTGTCCATCCAATCCCAGAATTATCTGCCCCCCAGTTCCTCCCCAAACCTGCCCCCATCATGCCTCTCCAGAAACTGAGTTGAGGGTCCTGAGACCCCTTTCTTCCTCATCTTCCTCTTTTTCACGACACATACTATCTTTGGAGCTTCTCCAAGGTTCTGGACTGTGATGGTGTCTTGTTGTTCAGGTCTGGGATGCAAATATTCTTAATCAGAACATGTCTTCTACAATTCTGTGTTGAAAGGAACCTCAACAAGCCTAAAGAATGTAGAAAACTTGATATGAAATGGGGAAATAGCATTTAGTGAGTGTAAACTACTATTCTAAAGTGACAGACTATACAGTTGTACTAAAAATCTGTATTTACTATACAGCTACTTTAAAATCTACAAAAAGCTAAAAAAAAAAATTCAAATGCATCACTGGCAATCTGTAATGTCTTTTAAGCAAAGTAAATGCTGTAGAGGTTGTTAGGGTACTTGGTCACTGTACGTAACTGTCATTTGAAAAGCTGGTCAGATAAATTTTACTTATTTTAAAAAGAAATTCTGAAGAGCTAGAAAATAAAAGAGTTGAAGTTGGTTGTAGCATTTTTGTTTGCTGCCTCACTGCTGCAGCAATCTCACACATGCTTTTCTTTTGCTCCGTCCTGCTCTCCTGCAAGTTCTCATGCTCTCACATGCACTGCCTTGATCTCTGCCTCTCCCTCTCATGCTCTTTCACATGATTCTCCCCTCCTCCCCACTCCTTCTTCCTCTTTCCCCTTTTTTTTCCTCTGTCCCCACTTTTTTCACCTTCTCTCTCATTCCTTCTTGCTCTTCTCCCCTCTCCTGCCACCTTCCCCTACTCTTTTCCTTGCTCTCTTCTTTCCCTCTTTATTTTCCCCTCTCTCCCTACTCCCATCTCTCCCCACCCTACGAATCCCTAAGTCTCTTCCCCTGCTCAAGCCCCCCTCTCCTTCTTTCTCTCACCTTTCACTTAAGGCTCTCATCTTAATCATTTCACAGAATGGCTGCAGTTTGAGGTTAAACTGCGTAATGTAAAAGAAAACTGCTGGATATTGGCTTTATTTGTTCCAAAAGAGCAAGTGATCTTATTCACAGAAAGCATTCAATTAAGCAGAAGATTAACTAAATCTGGGTTTCTAATTAAATCATTTAATCAGAAGTTTCACTGATGATGTTATAGCATTTAGTTGTTATGCTAGTCTGTAGCAGACCTTTGTCTTAAAGATAAGTTTGTTCTGAATGTGAGAGTAACATTCCTTACTGTTATAAGTAAAATGAAACTGAGTTGAAATATAGTAATAAAAATTTATTGAAGAGTTATAGAAAATGCAAATAAGCAAAACAGCATGCTGGGCGGCCGGGGAGTCTCCTGCTCCACTCACGGCACGCAAGCGCAGTGAACAAAACCAGGAACTTTTATTCCCTTATCAATTTCCCTCCCATTGTCACTTGTTGTTTTTCTATTGGATCTGAGCTTTGCAGGTCTGATTCTGGTTGGCCTCTCTGCATTCTCGCTTCGGTTGCCTGGTGCTTTCTCCTCCCATAGTTCCAATCAGTCCCTAGACCTTGAGGCCTGGCGTGCAGGCATCTCCAGATGTCCATCTTAGATATTCTGTATCATTTCAGTTCCTGACTCTTCAATCCTTGTCCTTTCTTTCGTTACTTGATGCGTGTTGTAAGACAATAAGCCTTTTAGAAAAATAAGATACAAAAGTATTTACTTAACAAGGCACAATGGTTTGTCTTTCTAGCTTTAGAACTGCAAACTTCATGCTTTTTCAGCTTACAATGCTGATAGATTAATGAACCATTCTACAACTTACAGTTTCTTACCTGTAACAGAACAGTGATTATAATGACATATATATATAAGAATATAACATGCACTACAGTTTAATGAGTAAGCCACTATTACTAATTTGATGAGTAAATTAAACCACTACTACTCATTACAATTCCCCACCTCTATTTATTCATAAATTTGCTCATCAAATCTTTTTACAGCTTCTTTAGCTGCTCTCAACAGAGAAGACTGTTTTGCTTTTATGCCACTCCCCATGTCTTCATAATACAGCTTTGCAGTGTTAAGTTGCATATTGTTAGTTCGTTCCTCACTTTTAGGATTGCCATTCATAATCTCGTAATTTTGTTTTATAGTCAGGAGTTGTATTTTTTCACTTACCTACATGTATAACACAAAGTTGTACCTAGGAGCTGCACAGAACATACTGTTTTGTACTGGTGTAAGAGCCTGGCCCCGAGCTATGAGCTCACCAAAGGGGTGTTACTTCAAAAATGTGCAAGGCTCCAACAGTATCTGCCCTTCAGATTATTGGAAGAGTCCTTGGTTCTTTTAACACCTTAAGGGACAGTGCAAAGGAGAAAAGCTGCACACATTTTTTCAGGGGGTACTTTTACTGCTAAAGTTTAGGAAATAAAGAGTACTTGGCAAAAGTTCAAAGGGTAACATTCAACCGAAATAAAGCATTTCACAAAGCATTGACTTAGCACATGCTAACCCATATAGCTTAGCAAAATCCAACCCATCTGGTCTCAAGCTATCCAAAATGTTAAGAAAGGAGATTAGAAGAAGTAAAGAAAGAGAGAGGAAAAGGAGAATTATAGCTTACACCAGAGTCAGGTGAGAGTCCAGCTCCCACATGTCCTAGGTGGCTGGGCTCAAACAGCATGGAGAGCACATGTTGCTGTTTCTATTTGCTCTGGCCCCCCGTGGCAACGCCCACCCCCAGGTGGGGCCCCTGTTGTGCCAGACAATCTGTGGCTGGCCTAGAGGTTCCAAGATGTGTGGGGGAGTGCTCCCCCTGTCCAGGGACTGACAGCTGCTCCAGGGCTGCCCCAGGAGGCTCCAAGAGCCTGCCACATGTGGGATATGGCATCAGCTCACCTCTGTGAAATTCAACATCTCCCTTCTCTGCCCACCCTCCCACCCCACACACACACTTGAGTTGGTCCGAGCCAATAATTAATACAATAATCCAGTGTCTTACAACTGGTGACCCTTCGGTCTAATTACTTCATGTCATAGCTTTGTCTAAATTTCCTCATCCTCTCATAGATGTTGTGAATGTAGACTAGTATCTCTTCAGCCTGAAAAAATGGCAGCAGGTCTTGGATAAATTTTTCTTTAATTTTTCTCTTTAATTTTTCACTTTTTTTCTTAAAATACTGACTTGCAAACTTTGTAAGTATCCTGTGCAGGCACAACTCAAAGTAGCTCACCGTTCTTAAAAAATCAATAAATAAATACTAAGTCTTCTGTTTGTCTGAAGCTTACTTCTCATCTTTTACCTCTAACATACATGGTTGGCTTTCTTAATCTAATTAGCAAGAAGCCACACTATGTGAAGCCATGATCTCAGAGAGGCACTATACTTTGTTATATTTCTGTTTGCACTGTTTAACATACTGTATCTTTTGTTTCAGGTTTGTAACAGTGTGTTTAACAGCTGGGATCAGTTTAAAAATCATTTGGTAATACATACCGGTGACAAACCCAACCACTGTACCTTATGTGATTTGTGGTTTATGCAAGGCAGTGAGCTGAGAAGGCATCTCAAAGACATGCACAATATTTCAGAACAAATAGTGACAGAAGAAGTTCTTCCAGTGGAAGCTATGGAAGCTGAACCAGTAACATCAATGACTATAATAGAACAAGTTGAGCAAGTCCATGTCCTACCAGTAATTCAGGTACAAGTGGATCCTGCACAGGTAACTGTGGAACAGATGCACCAGGATCTCATACAGGACAATCAAGTGAAAGGCACACAGATGGAGGAACTGCAAGAACAGGTGCAAATTAGTTACTTGGAAATTGAACACATTCAGACTGAACAAAATGCTGCAGTTCACATGGAGCAGTTACACGTTGGGCATGTAAATCAAATACAGATGGAAGAAGTACAGGCAGAACTTATAGATGGAACAGACCTTGAACAAGTAGAATATGAAGGTGTTGATCAAGGAGAAGCAGAAGAAAATAAAACTAGTCAAGTAGATGATACAGATATGGAAAATCATGAACAAGCTGAAGACTTAAAAACTCAACAATTAGTGGAAACACAGAATGAAAAGGTGTATGACTAGGACAAATAATGACACTGCAGGTTTAGGAATGAAATACAAAATTATTTTTGTTAACTTTTACATTGGTTTTTGAACTGTCATTGGTCACCTTTCCAATATGCTGTCCTTAGGAAGCTGGACCAAGTGGACCAGTTTTCTTCATATACAACTACACTTCTCTCATATGTGAAAAATAACTTTCCCATTCATGTAATGCCATGGAACAGAAACTACCAAAGACACGGACAGCTTTGTGAGGTTTTTAGCAATGAATAGCCTGTGTCACATCATCCCTGGATATATGTAAGAGTAATTTCACCTCTTTTCCTCTTGCAGTAGAAGCAAACTCTTGTATAGATTTGCAGAGTGTCTGTGGCCGAAGAATCAGTAAAATCTGGTGGGTTCTAATGTAAGTGGCAATTACGTACCTGCGAATTTTCAGATCTTTCAGGCTGGGCTAAAATTAGCATTGTTGCTGGAGGTGTCTGAGCGCAAAAATCCCGTGCCTTTTCAACACTGGCTAGTGAAATTTCCCCAAAGTTTCTAGAGTTTTTGAGAATTTAGTTCTGTAAAAGGCAGTGTAGGTAATGTTATAGTGCTTTATATTTTTGCTTAAAATTGTCAGCTACTGATTTTCTTTTTACATTAAATTTAGAGGTAGGGGACTGAGGGAGGGAACAGATTCCACATGGAGGCAGCAGGGCACTCTAAAAGGGACACTTAAAAATAGGAAAAACTTGGTAGAGTCTGTGGCAAACACAAATTGGAAAAAAGCTACCAGCAGACTCTTCTTTTATAAAAAAATCATTTTTGAAAATGAATATGTTTAAACGTAAATATAGAGGAGATTTGTCTATATGGTATCAGGTTCTTGGGTTTTTTGAAATTACATTCTGACACTTGACGCAAAGATATGCTAAACATAAAAGTAAAAGCCATAGGTATGAATGCTAAACTGTGGATTGAAAAGTAGAAGTGTAAATAGTTTAATCAATATTAGACAATAAAACAATACCAAACATTAAATGTTGCATTACTTGTTTCATCCATTAGGAATAACTGAGTGGCAATTACAGTGCCAGCTTCCAGTGTTAAGAATCAATCTAAATTTTAATATGATTATTATCTCTTTACTGTAAAGTTAGATTTGTTTAGAAAATACTTGTCTATCTCTATGCTCAAGGATGCTAAGAATTTCTAATTCTTAATTACTACTGGAGGTTAGAGGTGCTCCACATTTCTGAAAAACTATTTTCAAAGCCTTAAATGAAGGAATTTTTGCAAGGACATTCCCTAATGCTCTTGGTAATCTTGTAGATCTTGGCTAAAATCAGACTCTTCTATTCCATGTTCAAATGCAGAACTATTTCCTGGGATTTGTGCATTTATTTAGTCTCATTCAAAAATGTGTTTCACTGTAGCTTTTGAGAAACTATTGCAAAACAAAACCCGGATCTCAATTAAAATTTCAAACTATTTGATTAACGTAACTTGCATTTTTTTTTGTTTTGTGTTTCTGAGATGCAAGTAATTTGTGATGAGATTCTGTGGAGAGGGAAGAATGTGGCCCAGTGTTAATCATGAAAATAAAATCAGTTATTATATTTATACCTGGCTTCTGATAAGCAGCTTATCTTTTGATAACATGAAGGGGACAGGCCTCCTTGCTTAGCTGCATAATGCTGAAATTTTGGAGGTATTTGTGCCTATAGACAAAGTCAGTCTCTGTGGAAGGATCTGTGTGTCTGACCAATGAAACCTATTGTTAGGTAATTTAAGTCCAGTATCAACTGAGCAGTTTCTTGGTATCGGTAACAAGGCAAGTGGTTTGGTAAGTTGGGCTATTTCTTAGTTCAGTTTGATGTCCCCTTTCCAACAACAGTTGGTGAATTTGGTAGGAGAAACCATGCTCTGGTGGTGTGCCCACTGGTGCCCCCTCCAGATTGCCGATGAGCCTGGGTGGGAGTATTGATGGGACCTTAAGTAGTCCTCTCTTCCCTCGGAGGGACAGGGAGAAAGGCTCCCCTCAAGTAGCAGCTCTGCTAGAGAGCCTTCCCCCCTTCCCTCTAATTCCCTCCCCATATGACTGAAGCCCAAAATGCTCCCATCTGTGAGCATCCCATTTGTGCCTCCTTGCTGCACCAGCTGATCCTGGAGGGAAGGTTGATGGGGGAGTGGAAAGTCTGTAAAAGCCACCTTGCCATCCCCTCTCTGCCCTAATGTCTGTATAGACACACAGGCCTCCCTGAACTCCGTATTCCCTATGCAGTATTGGAAAAGTTCTTCCCCCTAAACGCTCACGCACTGCAGGTCCCCGGGGCCTTGTGTGACGCGAGTCCTGGGAGCTGTGCCTTGGAACTACCCCTGTCTGTAAGTTAAAACTGGAACCGGGAAGGGGGAGCAGCTGTAGCTCCCGGGATGCGGGGGGAGCGGGCAGGACGGCCTGGGGGCTGGTCATCGTCGCCTGGGGCCGGAGCTCTCTGGGGTTTGGAGGCTCCAGGGTGCCGGGGGTCTCTCCCGAGGGCAGCCAGGGGAGCGGTGTCAGGAGGCGGGGAAATGGCGCTGACGCCTGAGGGGAGGAAATGGCGGGCTGCGGGAAAGGGCCGGGGGATTGCGGCGGCGCTGCTTCCCGGGATCGGGATCCCGGGAGGGGAAGGGTCGGAGCGGCAGGGCCCGGCGGAGCCGAGGATGGAGGCGGCGGGAGGCAGCCGGCCCTCGAGTACCCCCGCTGCCCTCGCCAGGGAGCCCAGCCGGCCTGGGCACGGGGGGGCTGCGTGCGGGCGAACGGAGCCCCTCTCGAGCATCTGCTGAAATGCCGCTGCGGGAAAATTATCAGTAATACCTCGTCGCTGCTGTTCCAGTTTGTGAGTTGGATTGCATAGAGCAAGTATTCTGGCGAAAAGGAATCACACAGACATTCCAAAGCTACCTGGACGCATTCCCGTGTCACCTGTTCCAGGTGACCCCCCCTTGGCAGGGGCGTTGAACTGGATGATCTCCAGAGGTCCCTTCCAACCCTAACGATTCCGTGATTCTGGCATTTCCCAGTGGGCTTAATGGTGCAGCATTCCGCATTTTCCTGAGGCTGAGCCTTTTTCAAAACCCTCGGAGCAACATGAGGCTGTACCTCGGTATGGGAATGGGTTCCATTTGTTACTTCAATGCAGATTCTTTGAGAGAAACGCGTGTCTTATCTGACACCCCCTCACACTTAGAACTAAGAGGAGCCTGAGGCAAAAAATATTTTCATTCGAAGAAATCCCATCCTGTGCTTGACCTGCAAAACATGTGACTCCACGGAGGGAGCGGAGACACACTGCTGTTGTTTTCTGGTTGGTTTGTTATTCCTTAGATAATCTTTCCATATAGCTCCAGAACGACAGGCACCTGAATTCAAAATGTATGAGTCTATCCAAAAAGGTCGTAAATTATATATATGATATTTTTTCGTGCACTATTTAATTACTTTTTAAATATTTTCTCAGATCTATAGCAGTTGTAGGAGCTTGGCGATCTCATGATGGTAAATGAGCAAATACTTTGATGGAGTTTATTTTTCCTGTCCACTTAAATATTATCATCCATCTTCTAGTGCCTTTAGTTCAACTGATACTTCTTTTTTTAAATAGTATCTTATCCCACAGTGAGAGGCGAGGACTTTAGGATGGATTACATAGATAGATAGATAGATAGATAGATAGATAGTAGGTCTGTTTGGGAACTAGAAAATAAACATGCCTGAATATGCCAATATTCCTATTCTTAACAATTACTTGTTTGGAATATTTTCTGAAGGTTTTTTTTTAAATCACACCTTTTGGGGTATTTTAAAAAATGTTGTCCAGTTATGGAGTCCATAGCTTTATCAGATGAAAATACTGATTTTGTGAACTAAGGATTTGCACTATTGCAAATGTAAATAATTCATTATAATACATCTGATATAGTGATTCTGTTTTGAAGGCAGTTAAGTTGCACTGGAAAATATTTGGTTGTTCATACTGCATCCACATTGCAATAAACTGATCTATTAGCCCTTTGCTAAAAAGGATTTTTCTTTGGTTCCTGTAGGTTGAACTTCATGGCAGGATTTTCTGGACTCCATCACTGAGGAAATGAGATGCTCCGTGGAATGGAGCCACTGCAAGTTCCTGCTCCACGAGATACACAGCACTTACCCAAGCAGATATGGCATCGGGGTAGCTGTAGAGCTTTGCCTGGGGAAGCACATGTGACTGAGGTGGTTGTAAGATACATGTTCAGAAGATGCTCTTAGCAGGATTAACTCCTTCCATCTGCAAACACCACGCAACTTTTTCATGGCCAGTTTTAGCCTCCAGTGTTATTCCGGAGCCCTTGAAGAAGGGCATGTTTGCTTCTTTTCTTGATTTTTACTGTAAGCTGGGAAATAAACTTCAACCTTTGAAATTCTTGGCTAACACTGAGAAAATCTCCAGCATGGCTCTTCCTTGTGTTTGGAAAAAAAGTAGTCCTTCATTCATAGACAGCTCTCTTTTAGGACACTTGGCAAATATTATTTAGCGCAGCCTCTAACTCTTCCTGTAAAGTACATAAATGGCTTTTATTTTCTCCTTTTTAATTTTCTGTATTTTTTATGATTACACAGACTAAATAATTCTGCAAGCAGGCAGTAATGGAACTGAAAACACTGGTCAGCTTTCTGACTTTCTCTCCTGAAGCATAAACCAGAGACTCTTCTTATTGCAGGGAAAACAAGTTAGCAAGAAAGATAACTCCAAAATAGAAATCAGTGTATCTCTTGCTTGAAATATGAGACTACGCCTAATGTGGGAAGTATAGGGATAATACTGACTTTGTTATGTTTGTAAAATAAATACAACTTTGCACACTCAGAACCATGGAAAATTACTTGGAAAACACTAGTATTTTCTCAGAAATTACACATTTCCAACAGCTTCCAAGGATTTTCATTGCTTTCAGCATTCATTCATAAGATGAGCCTCTCTTCTGGTTGTGAATTGGTATTTTAAGATGCAGAGAGGGTTAGAGATTATACCAGTCTCAGTATCTGCATTGAAATAATTGTAAGTATGTCTGTGCTAGTGATAAACCTTCATAATGCTGCATGGAGACAGATCTGCTCGTAGAGGATTATTGGGATATGTTTTCTGCTGGTTGTCATGACAATCATAAATCTGTGCAGCTGCACAGCAGTGTATTAATCTGTGCGTGCAGTTTAATCCCGTTTCCAAATTAGATCATCAATACTGAGCAGATAGATAACAGCTGGCTTAAATAGTGTCCGTTCACTTCTCCTGAAGTAGCACCTGGAGTCCAGCCAATACATCTCCAGTTTTCTAGGAAAGACATAGTGTTAAACCATGGAACAATTTGCTGCTGTAATAGCAGTGTACGACTTGGCTCAGTGTCCCACATCCCATATTCTTCAGGTATTTATAATTAATGTAATTTTTCTCAGTCTGAATTATTATGTCATTTATGTTTTAGAGATTATATCAGAAGTTTAAGGTCTCTATAGTCCTCTATATTAAGAGAACCTGGTTATTACCGTGTGCAGCAATGCGTGCTGATGCTATCATGATCTTTAAAGCACCTGTTGCAAAATAAGGAGGTATATAATCTGAAAGGAAGTTAAGAAACATGAGTATTCCCTGCAAGGCAGTTAGAGAGTGCTTGAAAACTCATCTGGCATTGAACAATTCAAGACAACTACTCCTGGTGTGACTTGAACCCTCTTTCATTATTTTGTAATTAATATATTTTATTATTTTGCAATTATTATTTCCATATTATGTCCATTAGTATTTGCAGTTATTACTTCCATAGCTTTTCGTGTAGTTTCCTGAAATGTATTTGTGAAGTTCAGTGTTTGTGAAAGGTTTCATGAAGTCAAGGTAACCAGGCTCAGTTCACTCAGGCCTCTTTGAGGGGCTGTGTTTGTGTAAAATGCCAGCCCTGTCCTGCACAGCAGACCGGTAGATAATGCAGTTTTCCTTAGAGCACAGTTGAAAGAATCAGCTTTTCTTAGTCCTGCAGGAGTTGATTGTACTGGTGGTTGTCTTCTTTGCCCTGCCAGGCCACTATGCATTAACTGTGGGCTGAGAGGGGCAGCATGAAACTACACTAATAATTATAGAAGGAGAATCTACAAGTACTTCTCATTTTTTATTTCCTTTTTACGCACATCAGGGCGGTGTAACTTTGAGGGTTTTTTCATTGGTTTTGGATTCCTCGGAATCCTCGTTTGGTTTTGCAGATCTCAAGTTGAAGAGTCTCTTTCACATTATGCCCAAGTCTGGTCCAGTAATCAGGAGGCATGAGAATTATCTGTTGAACTGAGCCTTGGGCTCTGCTCTTAAATAAAGTTCCACTTCTCTGGCCAAGCACAGCGTTATGGCACCGAAGGAGAGCTGATCACTTACCAGCTTCAGTAAATACAAAATTTAAGATGAGTAATAAGTGTTTAATTTCCAGTGGCACATTTTCATTAGCATTTAAATGGAAGTCTTTCTTGACTTTCTCTCAGCAGTGCACAGGCCTGTTTGAGCTACCAAGCAGCATACCAGAGAGGCACAGGGATGTGAGATGTTTAGCCAGGGATGTTAGCTTTTCAGAAATAGTACTAATGCAAAGTGTCAGCTTCCCCAGCATATCAATGAATAATTTTTATCTTAATTTGAAGTGTAATCAGCTCAATTTGGCAGAAATTTCTTTTGACAGCAGTTTGGTTGTAATTGAGATTGACAGCTTTTTGCATGAGACATGAAGATTTTTAAAGATTTTATTTCAATGCCTTCTTGCTTATTCTTCCTTAGGGTTTTGTTTGGGTTTTTTTTAATCCCTTGTGCTTTTTTCTGTCCCAAACTTCTTTTGGTTTCTTGATATCACTTGAAACAGCTAAGTAGAGAAAAATAAAATGCAGGTTTCCCTTCAGAATCAAAGGGTAGGAGCACCAGTAAGAGCTGGATTTGGCCTTTTTCCCAGATGTGGATTATATCATCCTCTTTGCTGGTCTCTGGTGACCGGGGATTCAATGACCGCCTGAGAACATGTTTGGTAAAAAAATCAAAGATTGAAGTTAACAAATACCTGGAAACTAGCCCAACACGTGACATGAATACGTAGTCATTAAGCAAAGTATATTGAATATATATAGGAATATATATAGGAGATTGGTGTTGCCAAAACTTCTGTACTTAGCAGAACAAACTCATTGTAACTGAGGCTTAATTCCTGCTAAACATCACATTATTTGAGTGTCTTGCACAGAGCTATGCCCATAAAGCCAACATCATGTTGAGAAAATATTTTTTAACTTTTCTTCACGTGAGGGGGTGACAGTTTCATGCATAAATTTAGTGTGCATCTACATCACAGTCAGTGAATTGTCCTCTCTCCAACCTTCTAAAAATTTGTTTTAATTGCACTTAGTAGTTTTTTAAGGCATGCCTGTAGGATAGTTGAGCAGTGATAATATTCTTCTGTACATGGAAGGACTGCATGTGAAACCCTTCTTCAGGGCTTAGGACAGGGATTCAAATACACCACCAAAATCTGAGTAGGTGCTCCAAGCATGAAGTTATTTTGTAGCAGCTCTTTTGACATGGGTTCTTTTGGGTTTGTTTTGTTTAAAAATATATGGAAGTTGTTTTATTCCAGATGTGGAATAACTTCACATTCTTAAAAGAAACTGAGTAGCCTTTATCACCTCCACATAACCAACATATGGGGCAGTACAGGACCTTTACTAAAAAAGACACTGTTTCAGGACATCGCCTCTTGGGCTATTCATAGGGAAAAGACACTGGTATCAATGAAACTGAAAAGTGAAGCCAACACATCAGTAACTCACCATAAGAATGTAGCTTCCTCTACAAATGGGATGTTTCAGAAATTGTTTCCTTCAGAGAAGAGCCTGTCTTGGCAGTATCCTTGTTTTCTACTCGGTTATTCTTTTCTCTGTCCAGTCTGATCTGAGAACTGCTTAATAATAAAAGCTTTATGTGGCTGGATGAGTATGCTAAAGGATTTTGAATGCGTTGTATTGCACTGGGCTGCCCACCGTGACAGTGACATTTAACTGGAAATTGCTGGACCTGTTGACTTGCAGCATCTAGGAGTGAATGGGAGAAGCTGTTTCCATTGATCTCCACTCTATGCTTTGCTCTCTTCAGGCAAGTGAGGAACAACCACTGGCAGCCTATTAGGAGCGAAAAGCCAGTGATAACAGCAGTGGATGTTTTGGTTGCAGTCAGAACCAATGTGGGAAGAGGAATTGCAGCCACCCCCAGTTCTCTGACGTGTTTTCCTTGGATATTGCACATGTGAGTCTGTGGTGGCTATCTGTCTACGTATGTGTCTGTGTGATAGGTACATTGTAAGATATAACTGAGTGTGGGATGAGAAAGATGTAAAATAGAAATGTGGAATTAGGGCTGTAGTACAGGGGAAAAAGGTTGAGTGAGAACCCTTGAGGTTACATACTTTTATTTGACCCTGCTTTTGTTTCCCTAGTTCCACTGAAGGAGCACACGTCTCTCTCAGGTGTGTCCACACAGTGAGAAAGGCCTTCTTCTCATTTGATGTTACTGTTCAGGTCACCTTAGAAACAAGTGTAATCATCTAAATATGCAAAGAAAAATGCTGAGAAAATTTTAAAGTCAGAGCCAGTTTTGGTGAATGCATTCCGTAAAGGAGCCTGGGCTTTGAAGTCCTGCAGACTCAGGAATGGTCTTGATGTTGTGGCTGGTAGTCTACACAAAATGGTGCTACAGAGAAGCCTGGTTCCTGACTGCTACAGCATGAAAATGAGAATCAATTCCTTGCTTATATTGGAGTCTTTTTCCACCAAGGACCTGAGCTTCACGTGGTAGATATTGAGATGACAATAAGGTGCAATACAGTTCCACAGAAATTTTATGCTTCAGAAGTACTTTGTGAAGACTCCCTAAGTTTGGCAGTTTTAGCAATGGCAGTTCACTTTTTGTGCTGGTCTCCACTAATCCTCCCAGTCATAAATATAGCATGGTGTACGTAAGGGATTTCAGGGCTGTGAACAAGCACTGTCTGCCAAGGCCTCTGGAATTTTATAGTTTATTTGGACTCTCATTCTGTTTGTATTTGTAGTCAAGTTTTACACTGCTACTATAATTTTCATATGTGTAAGACATTCTCCTAATAGAGGGATTGACAAATGTGTTTCAGTACAGAGGTGATACGGAGATGCTCAGAGGGTGTCTGTGTTTTGTCTAAATCTTGGAGCATAAATGCTAGGTCACCTAGTGAAGCCACTTGAGGAAGGATCAAAAAATGCGTCTAGTAATAGTATCTTTTTTGTCTTCCCCGAAACAGTATGTTAGAAAACAGAATTAAAAGACAATCTAAATTACTCTGAAATAATAATTGCAAGAAAACTTTGTTAAAATTGGAATTCTTATATGGGCTGAAGGAAGAGAACTCAGCTTCATCAGGCCATATGAGAAGTCTCAGTATAATTTTTTTTTTTATCTGATTCAGCAGTATTGCAGAACTTTTCAAAGCTCAGAATTCTGTCTTAAATTCAGTGCTGTAATAAGAAATTCAGAATTAGTAAGTGTTAAGACTCCTTTACATGATGAGAAGGTCCATTGTTGGTGCTAAAATAGGAAAGGTGAACAGATTCCTTCTTCATCATTGTTGTTTTCATTTCATCCATGACACTAGCAGTCTTGGTCCTTTAGCAGTCTTTCAAGTTCAATTCCAACAACTTATGAAACTTTGTGGTCATTTTTGTGTGATTGTCTTGGTCATAAAGTAACAACTCATTAAAGCTGCTGGCTTAACCTGTTTACTTCTGCAAAGTGAACTGTACATACAAGCTGTAATTTTTGTGCATTTTTTGTTACAATGGAAAAATATGTAGAACACTTTAACGGAATATTAGGAGTAGCCTCATCAGGGTAGTAAGCAGGAGTTGTGGCATTGCCTAAAGTGAACAATAAGTTAGTCTATGTTCACATCTCATTTCATTTTCATTAACAAGAAGGGAGCACAGCAAGGAGAAGTTGTCTTTTTCCTTGGTTTTTGATTTAACTTTGCACACAAATAGTGTATATGTTCAGTTCTGTATCATGCCTATGAAAAATTGTGGATTTCTATCTGGAGACTGCAGGGCATGCAGGATGTCAGCTTGATGCTGCCTTTGAAATGGGAACGGGCTTTCAAATTAATGGTTCTCTGTTTTTCAAGTATATGATCACTGTGGTAAATACCTGTATCCTTGCCTTCCGAGTGGTTAGGGGTAACCCCAGGTTTGAAAATGAGAGACAGAAATGTATGAAGTTCTTTGATCCAGAAAACCAAATGATGCCAGCCCTGTGATTTAGAGGTTATGAGAAAAATCTCTTTCGAGTCCTGTTAAACTCTGCATGGTGTCACCAGATTAAGTGGTGTGATTAGCTGGGTTAAGTACTAATTATATGAAGAGTATGCAAGAGACATGCATTTTCTTTCTTTTTCTCTCTCAGCTGGAGCTGTGGCACTGAGAAATGCTGCTGCCATGGAGAGACAGGAGAGTAAATATTGTCCCTCAAGGGTCAGTCAGAGACCTTTGGAGGAACCAGAAGAAGCGGTTAATCTTTGTGTTAGAGGCTGAAAAGCTAAATGCCAGCAAAGCAGGCAATTCTAGCTCGAGGCAGTGTTGACTGCGTTCACACATGATACATCACCAGGCAAGATTAAAGGCAGTGTTATGTCTACTCTGAGATGCTTGATGGAGAATTTCTTCAAATACACCTCTTCAGGAGCTGATCATGAGACTGCTTTCTGAGAGGTTTCATACTCTTAATGGAACCTGTTTGCTAGATAGAGGGTATAGGAGATCAAACAAGTCAAATGTCCCCTCTTACCTGAAAATAAAACTGTTACTGCAAATACCACAAATGTCTTCATTCCCAGACGTGATTTCTGCTGTCACTCTGTAGTGCTAAAACAATGTCATTTGTAAATGGCTGTGAAGAGTAAAAAAGGTTTTGGTTTTGACTCTACAGGTCTTCGTGATGCATTTTTTTGATAATCAGGGATGTGGACCAGTGCCCTTCTTTAGAAGGGGTTAGAACTTGGCATTTTACTGCCAGAGGATCTGACTGTGCCCAGGCTGACATCCTGCCCAGCACCTGACAAGTCAGAGTTTGTCCCGAGAGAATATAATCTTCTGGATTGCCAGCTGCACTTTGTTCAGATTTCAGGGCAGCATTAAGCATTTCGTGTCTTATTTTATCTTGCTGGCCTCATGGTGTTAGCCTGCTTAGCTGGAAAAGCTGAACAGGCCCTTCCTCTGCATCTCATGTTCCCATTTTCCTCTATTCTCAAAAGCTGTCCTAGAAACCTTAGCAGGTCTTACGACTATGTTTTTAAAATGGATGTGTCACGTGAAGCACCAGTGACACTGTGTGTTGCCTTTTGTAGTACACCAAAGTATCATTTTGGTTTTAAAGTCGTATTTTTTTCTCAGCATGCTTTCCTACTGGTATATAATTTGATATGCGTACTACTTAAACAGCAGTTTCATTTGTGTCTTGAAAAAACTCCCATCCAACAGATTTTATAGTTTAATTGTAATAATAAATGGAAAAAAAAATGTTGTACTCAAGCAATTTATCACCATTAAAGTAGTACAGACTCTTACAGTTTTTTTACTCTCTCCATTTTCTTTCTCTTTCCTTTCTCTTTTTTTTCCTAAACACTAATTATGAACTAGTTCCTCTGATTGTTTTCCTATTGTTTTTTTCCCCCATTTTACAAAGTAAAATAAAACTGGAGTTTTTTCCCTTTCATTGAGTTTTGCTTCCCTCAGGCAAGTACTCTTTCTTGAGCTGATAGAAGGCTGCTGGAAAGGGGTAGAGCATTAAGCAAATCCAGGATAGATTAGTCAGTGAATGAACCGCTAGCAGCATTACATTGTCATCTATTTAAAAATAGATTGCTATTTCAGAACTTCAGTCTAATAGGAATAGCTTATAAACTCTTCTGCATGTCTCTAGTCTCAGATGCATTTCTAGATTCTCATATGAAATTCTCCTGCTGATTTCTTCAAGGAGAAAATAGAGGGAAGGTGAGGAACTGGAGTATCTTACCTATACACTTTTAAATAAACTTGGGATTTCGGACCGTATTATGTGAGTGGTGGCTGTAATGGAACTGCATCGGGGGAGTGGATCCTTGCAGGGAAGATTATGGTTTAAATATGTTTGAAAATTTGTTTATGCTGTACTTCAGTGTATATTTGCTTTTTTCTTCCATAGTGAACCTACGCTTCCTGAAATCATGGAATGTAATTCGTATCTGTGTAATACCATAGAGTTACATGTAAGAACAGAGTTACATGTAATGTCATGGACTTACTCTTAATTTCCGTTTTTCAAATCTGACAGAACCTGGTCCCTAAACTTGAACATTACAGGTGTTAGTCATTAACATTTTAACAAAATATCAGCTGTCTTAGCTTTTGAGATGTTTTGTGGTCTTCTGTGTGGTAAGCGTTATGATCTTTTGTATGGCAGTTCATACCATATGATATATATTTAGCTGTTCCAAAAATCTTTGGAAAAACAGTTCCCTTTCCAGTCGATTTAATTAGAAAAAATAAAGTGGAAAGAACAATGATAGGCTTCCTAATGCTGCTGGATACTCAGATTTGCACTGTTCTTTCTAATGGAACACTGTTTATCTTCATTTTGACAATAATTGTAATAAAAACAATAACGATAATAATAGTCTGAGTTCAAGGACAGGTACCGAACAAATGCCAATAAGATTAGCTAATGAAATTAAATACGAGCCAAATGTATTAACATTAATATTTGCTCAAGTCAGGAAAGCTTTTGCTGTTCAAATGGGATATGAAAAGTAGCATGGTTTTTAGGGATTTTAGATGTAGCAGGTTTTTTGCCTGACTCTGCCTTTCAGTGAATCAACAGCAAGACTTGTATTGCTTGGTCCTCTGTAGTGTTCCTCTTCTGCACTTTCCCAGCCAGAAGGGTCTTGGTCTCAAACACTGGCAGCCTTCCCTGACCTCAAACACTGGCTTCTCTGCTGATCCTTGCAGCAGAACAAGACAGTTGCTTAAACTTTTTGGGATACAGCCTCCTCAGCACACACTGATTTGAACATTTGGTTTGAGAGACAGTATTATGAACTTTTCAGTGCTCCAAAACCAGACAAGTGTAAAGGGGAGAAAAAAAAAGGCTTCTAAAAGAAACCTAGGATTTCTTGTGAAGCATTTAGCAGCAATACTAAAGCCAAAGTCACAAAAGAAGAGTAAAATCTAGAGTTGTGCTCCATCTTC